TAGCTTTATAATTCACCCCAGGAAACTCAGACATAAAATAGCGAGTTACTTTACAATCACCCAGGAATCACATCAACTGATTTCACCAGAAACTGTTGGTATGTTCTTCCAAAGTTTTAGCTTGGTATAATAGACTTTAAGCAACCCCAAAGGAAAAAGTCAGAGGGTGTTAAGTTAGGACTCCTGGCTGACACTCAGACATAAAATAGCGAGTTACAATCACCCAGGAATTTCAAATTTCACCCATGGAATCACAGTTTCAGCTTGGTATAATAGACTTTAAAGCAACCCCAAAGGAAAAAAGTCAGAGGGTGTTAAGTTAGACTCCTGGCTGGACACTCAGACATAAAATAGCGAGTTACTTTTTACAATCACCCAGGAATGGAAACTGTTGTAGTATGGAAGTTCTTCCAAAGTTTTAGCTTGGTATAATAGACTTTGTTAAGTTAGACTCTGGCTGGACACTTAAGCAACCCCAAAAGGAAAAAAAGTCAGAGGGTGTTAAGTTAGGGAGTTAGGACTCCTGGCTGGACACTCAGACATAAAATAGCGAGTTACTTTACAATCACCCAGGAATCACATCAACCCAGAAATTGTTGTAGTATGGGAATCAAAGGAAAAAAGTCAGAGGGTGTTAAGTTAGGACTCCTGGCTGGACACTCAGACATAAAAACAATCACCCAGGAATCACATCAACTGATTTCACCAGAAATTGTTGTAGTATGGAAGTTCTTCCAAAGTTTTAGCTTGGTATAATAGACTTTAAGCAACCCCAAAGGAAAAAGTCAGAGGGTGTTAAGTTAGGACTCCTGGCTGGACACTCAGACATAAAATAGCGTTACTTTACAATCCCAGGAAGTTGATTTCCACTTTGGAAGTTCTTCCAAGTTTTAGCTTGGTATAATAGATAATCACCCAAAAGGAAAAAGTCAGAGGGTGTTAAGTTAGGACTCCTGGCTGGACACTCAGAGCGAGTTACTTTACAATCAATCAACTAATTTCACCAGAAACTGTTGTAGTATGGATGTTCTTCAAAGTTTTAGCTTGGTATAAAGACTTTGGATGGACACTTGGCTTAGTATGGAAGTTCAAAGTTTTAGTATAATGGTATAAAGTTAGGACTCTGGACACTCAGACATAAAATAGGAGTTCTACAATCACCCGGAATCACAAAGTTTTAGCTGTTGGTATAAGTTCTTCAAAGACTTTTAGAAGCAACCCCAAAGGAAAAAGTCAGAGGGTGTTAAGTTAGGACTCCTGGCTGGACACTCAGACATAAAATAGCGAGTTACTTTACAATCACCCAGGAATCACATCAGCTAATTTCACCAGATGGATGTTCTTCAAAGTTTTGTTGCAACCCAAAGTATGGAAGTTCTTCAGACATAAAAAAGTTTTTGTAGTATAAAGACTTTCCCCCAAAGGAAAAAGTCAGAGGGTGTTTTAGGACTCCTGGCTGGACACTCAGACATAAAATAGCGAGTTACTTTACAATCACCCAGGAATCACATCAACTGATTTCACCAGAAATTGTTGTAGTATGGAAGTTCTTCCAAAGGGCTTGGTATAATTAGCAACCCCAAAGGAAAAAGTCAGAGGGTGTTAAGTTAGGACTCCTGGCTGGACACTCAGACTGGAAACTCAGACACCAGAAAAAATAGCAAAGTTTTACTTTAGGACTCCTGGCTGGACACTCAGACATAAAATAACGAGTTACTTTACAATCACCCAGGAATCACATCAACTGATTTCACCAGAAATTGTTGTAGTATGGAAGTTCTTCCAAAGAGCTTGGTATAACATAAGCAACCCCAAAAGGAAAAAGTCAGAGGTGTTAAGTTAGGACTCCTGGCTGGACACTCAGACATAAAATAGCGAGTTACTTTTACAATCACCCAGAATTTCACCAGAAACTGTTGTAGTATGGAAGTTCTTCCAAAGTTTTAGCTTGGTATAATAGACTTTAAGCAACCCCCAAAGGAAAAAGTCAGAGGGTGTTAAGTTAGGACTCCTGGCTGGACACTCAGACATAAAATAGCGAGTTACTTTACAATCACCCAGGAATCACATCAACTGATATCACCAGAAACTGTTGTAGTATGGAAGTTCTTCCAAAGTTTTAGCTTGGTATAATAGACTTTAAGCAACCCCAAAGGAAAAAAGTCAGAGGGTGTTAAGTTAGGACTCAGACATAAAATAGCGAGTTACTTTACAATCACCCAGGAATCACATCAACTGATTTCACCAGAAACTGTTGTAGTATGGAAGTTCTTCCAAAGTTTTAGCTTGGTATAATAGACTTTAAGCAACCCCAAAGGAAAAAGTCAGAGGGTGTTAAGTTAGGACTCCTGGCTGGACACTCAGACATAAAATAACGAGTTACTTTACAATCACCCTATATATACGTATATATATATATAATTATTTATTTAGAAAATTTATAGCATAAACATGTTATAAAATCACTACAAAATAGCCATTTTGTTTCAACACTCCCGGTGCCTTATCAAGTGATGATGTTGAATGCAAAACAAATGGTATATATATATATATATATATATATATATATATATATATATATATATATATAAATGAAAAGTGTCACTGCTAACACCAGAGTTTATAACTTGTATCTCTAGACTATGAAAATATAGACCTCCATTTACTATAAATAGAGATATCATACCACTCACTGGGGGGAGGGGGGTTATAATTATATGGTTGACAATTGTGTTAACCCGGACTTTAAAGTCGAGTGTCACGTGTTCTAAGACGAATTAGTACTTTTCTTAGGAGTTATTCGCATGTATTCGGGTATTAACCGATAAGTAATCAATAATCTTTTCTTTGACTTTTTACTTCTTTGTTGTTATGTATGTTAATTGTGTTTGGTAATTAAATACTTTGTTATTTTGCATTCAAGCCTTTCTGTTATTACTTGTATTAGTTGCGAGTGACAGATTACAAATATATATATATATATATATATATATATATATATATATATATATGAATTGTACAAATATTAAATTTGTCACTTATCTGATTGATGTATTTTTTAGCAATACAACTCAAGAGTTTCATAGACGGAACCTCCAGAAATCGATACGGCCACTCATCAGGAGATACCAGCAATTGACTGTTTATTTTATCGTTTTTTGTCACTTTTATATTGGGTTAAAAAAAAATAATTTATACGCTTTTTATTGGAGCAGGGTTGATTTTTTTCTTCTTTCATTGTGTGTGTGTGTGTGTGTGTGTGTGTGTGTGTGTGTGTGTGTGAGAGAGAGTAAAGTAGGAATTTGTCAAATTTGGATTTGCCAAAACAACATTCCATGAACCTAATGCTTAAAGTGTTTGTAATGATATTGTCTAGTTTTATAATTTTTGTTTAAATCTGCTTAGATTTGCGACAGGAGTAAAATAAGATTTTACCAGTTTTACAGAGAGCAATTTATTAAGCGTATTTTTTTATTTTCAGTCAAATATCAAATATACATTACTGGACGATGCCCCAGTGACTGTATTTTTCGTTCAACAATTTGTAAGATGGGTTTCATTGGCAACAATTGCTTTATCCGGAAACACATCATTTTGTTATATTTTGTCTTTCTTGTGTCAGTATCAAATCTGAACTTCCAAGTCGGTAATGTCCTTAGAGCCGCAAATAAACATGGCCGACCTCTGTGTTATCTAAGTGGAGAAACAAAAGTCTGTTTGTTTCGCTTGTAAAATGACGGTCGATAAAGGAAGGCGATTGACCTTTGCATCTATCAAAAGTTTTCTGTATATAGAAAACTTGAAAAAGACGAGCAGATTTCAATCGAGAAAGTGATTTGTCATAAATCATTGTTTCCAATGAAAAAAAAAAAAGTAAAATGCAATATGCCTTCGATTATTTTTATAACAATACTAACGTATCTAAAAGTTTCACTGCTTACAGAATGAAATAAAAAAAGAATCTATCCGCTTCACGTGCACGGCTTTATTGATACAAAATCTGAAATAATTTCTTTAAATACTTGTTCTATATTAAACCATAAATTCAAAAGCGTTATTCCTTAGAATGATACAAGGGCACATAAATTTGTCTGTATTAGCTACAGACTTTGATAAAGCTAACCAGTTTTTTTTTTCATGATTTTCCTTAATTTGGAATTATTGGATCACTAGAACATCAGGCCGTACACTTATTGAGGGAGAGTGTTAAAGCGATCCCTTTCAACGAGATGACGTTAAATTGATCTTACGAAACAGTCAAGCTGACATCAAGACAAATTATTTTGTATTAAAAAATAAATAACTTTTTCTTCTTCTTCGTCTTTATACCGTGCCCCTTCAAGCCATGTACGATCATGGCTTTCCACAACTTCCTATGAGTTGTAGCTCTAAACAATGTTTGTTCCCTTACTATCCCCAGTCCATGTTCAACCATCCATTTACGCAAGCACGTTAACTAGGTTGATCATGGCTCCCCACAACTTCCTATACTTTGTAGTTCTAAACAATGTTGGTCCCCTTACTATCCTTCCCAGTTCATGTCCTGTCATCCATTTACGCAAGCTCTTTAAGTAGGTTGATCATGGCTCTCCACAACTTCCTATCCTTTGTCGCACTAAACAATGTTTGTCCCCTTACTATCCCACTCAGTCCCTGTTTTGCCATCCATTTACACAAGCTCGTTAGGTAGGTTGATCATGGCTCTCCACAACTTCCTAGCTCTAAGCAAATAGACAAGGCAAAAAAAGATATATCAGAGGCGCTGTCTGGTTTTACTGAGAAAGAAAGAAAGAAAGAAAGAAAGAAAGAGGAGGCGATAATGTCTCATATATGTAACGTCTGCTTCAATGAAATGGAAAACATTGTCAATTTAAAATGTTTGCATTTGAACTCGTTTACTGCTTTAAATGACTGATTTGCAGAATAAATAAATGTGAAACAATTACTGCAAATTCTCACTAGTCAATAATAATTTTTAGAATCGTGTCAACGAACAGAATTCAACTTCCAATTTTTCCCTCCATTTCAATTATAGATAGATAGATAGATAGATAGATAGATAGATAGATAGATAGATAGATAGGACAGCTGGAGCTTTTTATAACATCAATCCACTTTGGGCGTCGGACTAAAAACTCGGCTCTGGAAAAATTATCTTGCTACTAAAACCGCGACAGCTTCACTTCGAGCGGTCACGGCCCTGGTAAGTCTCACAATGAATCTACGAGAATAAGCAATAATTCTAGAATCATTTGTCTGAGACGAACTGACGCTTGACACAACACGTCCCCACTCGAGCAACACGCTGAGATGAAAGCAAGATGTAATTAAAATGAACAAACTTGAACCAACAATTACGCCGTTACTCGAAGCCATTTTCTAGAAGCGATTCGATTGTAATGGCCGACCTTAGCTGAAGTTTCGCTCACCTCACCTGCAAATGCAAGCCTACTCCTACGCTACAAAATCGTTTCTTTGTTTCAGATATATGCGTTTGGTGGGTAAAATGGTATTGACTTGTAATTAATACACTTTAATATGTTTAAAAATGTTGGTTGTCTTTTATTTCAGTGTATGTCTGATGCTCTTATTATATATCTCGAGATTCTTGACAAATTACAAAGAAGAGTCTGTGATATAATCAATCCTGACCTGGCATCTTTTCAGCCACTTTCTCGCAGACGTGACGTGGCTTCCCTCTGTCTTTTCTACAAATATTTTCATGGTTATTTTTTTCTAATGAACTTTCCTCTTTGTAGTTTTTATTCTTCCGCCAGACAAAAATTGTACATATGTAAACTTGGTAGGTCTTATGGTGGATGTAGTAAGAATGGCACATAAGAAAGGAATATAGTGATATATCTGTCTACATTTCTGAGATGATGTATTGTAGTTATTTGCACCATTTACATTGTTCGGACTGTTGTCCTCATCATTGTCGCCATATACAAGACGTTTCGGCCCTTGTACGCTTCAGCCTTCTTCAGTGTTGTTATCTATACTTGGACATCACTGCCCGAATCGAGGAAATAGCTTAGAACATCCCTCGGGTTCGGGCAGATGAATTAAGACGGAAAGCGAGACAGATACCGGAGATGGTTAAGCTGTCCAAATTAAACATCACGAAACTGGAATGGATGGCAATCAGAACCCTACAGAGGAATAAAAATATCCTCATACTACCAGCTGACAAAGGCGATGCAACTGTAGTGATGGACATAATAGAAAAACCGGAAGACCTCATTAGAAATGGTAGCTACAATAAAGAAAGATCGAAGAATGAAAACAAAACGAGAACTGTCACAGATCCTAATCAAGAACAAGGACCACTTTCCTCCTAAGACCTACAGACAATTGTCAAAATGTTATATCTAGCTACCTCACATATACGGTCTCCCCAAAATTCACAAAGACATTATTCCACTCAGGACATTTGTAAGCTGCCAAAGCTCTGTGTGCCACCCTCTGAGTCGCTTCCTTGTAGATATAATTGACCCATTAATAGGAAAGTCACCTTCATATGTCAAAAACTCCGCCCACTTTGTGGAAATAATCAAAGATGCTCCCATCCAATGCAACCAGATGCTGAGCCTGGACGTGGTGAGTTTGTTCACAAAGGTACCCACGGACGAGTCACTATCGGTAGTCAGGATCAGACTGACCTCAGACAACGGGCCAAAATACCAATAGATCACCTGATAGAGATTCTGACTTTCTGTATACAAACAACACACTTCGGAATGGGATCAGACATAAATGATGAAGGCTTAACAATGGGTTCGTCATTATCACCAGCAATGGCAAACATATACATGGAATACGTCGAAGAAATGACATTAGAATCCACATCACTAAAGTCAACTCTATGGCTAAGATACGTAGATGACACCTTCATACTTTAGCCACACCACGAAATGGTCCAGCTACTACTGGACCATGGGAACTCAATAAGATCGCCGATACAGTTCACAATAGGGAAAGAAAACAACTAGCATTCCTGGATGTACTAATATCTTGAACAGGACATCGATTCAAGACATCCATATACGGCAAGCCAACATTCACCGGACAATACCTCAACTTCAACTCCCACCACCCATACAGTGTAAAGAAATCGAGCAAAAGTCATAAGTGGAGACCCAGAGGTATATGAACGAGAAATGGTCAGTATAAGCAGTACCTTAAAACGTAACAACTACCCTGGGTACATGACAGCAGCTCCAACAAACTGGGGTAGAAGGGTACAAGAGGATAACAACTTCGGTCTGCCTACCCTATGCGAAGGGATTACGGAAAAAATGAAAAAAGATCTGTGGTTCATATAACATCAGGACGACCTGGTTTAGCACTTCGCAGATACCTCTTCCGAGTAAGACCATCCATATAGGAGAACATGACTAAGAAATGCGTGTACACCATCCTGTGTAGCTGTGGTAAGAAATATAAAGTAGAAACCGGCCGACCCCTTAAGATAAGACTGCAAGAAGTTCGTAAAACCGTAACACGAAGGGAAATAGAAAAATCAGGCGTAGCTGACTACATATGGACGGGAAAGGGAAATCACCGTCCCCTGTGGGATGAGGCTGAAATAATAGAGAACATCACTGGAAAATACGAAAACTTAAGGAATCAGCACATATGCTAGGCCACAAATATCTCATGAGTCGACCAAGCATAGAAATGAATATGAGAACCAGTAATACGGAGTGCTAGAGAAAAAAAATATTAATAACAAAAATTGCAATGTGAGCTCTGCTAAAAAAGGTTACTGAGATATTAAGTTTATAAGTCCCCAAAATTGATACAATGATGTCCTGAAGGATATATGGTCCAGTGGTTAAAAGCGTTGGGTTGATCCAGTGACTTGACACAAAGAGTTGTGAGTTCATATACCTCGCTAATGCGGAACAAAAACTTGGAGAGCTGAATTAACAGGACTAAGTGAGGCACCCAGAAGCGCCATGACACCTAGAACTAGAAAAATCTACCGGTGGACGAAATACAGGGTTCAGTTCGAAATTCCAATCACCTGAAGAAGGCCGGAGCGAACAACGGCCGAAACGTCATGAATATGGCAACAAAGATGAGGACAACAGTCCGAACAATGTAAATAGTATAAATATTACTTTGGTATGTTTGAGTCAGTAATTGTGGCTAGCTTGGTTTAATTATAAGACAAAAGACCAGCCATCGACAAGCCATTTTTGTCTAAGTGCCATATTTTTGTATCTTTACAAAATAAATATAGGGTGTTCCAATAACTTGTACCGATTTTAAATGTGAATTAAGTTTGAGCGTCTAATATTTTTTTTTCTTTTCCTTTCGGATTTAACAACTTTAGTCTTTGGCAATTTTAATCATGGAAAGATTAACAACGCGTTAAAGTTATCGAAGCCTATTACGAATATGGACGTTCAAATTTATAAATATACGACCCAATGATTCCGCTAGCAAAAAATGCACACCAAACAGTGACCTTTTATGGATGCAGTGGCTTTTCAACAATCTTCCTTGGATTTTCATCAGACCAAATGCTTATTAACGAAACCACCAAGATGAAAATGGGCTTCATCACTAAAGAGGATTTTTTACGAAAAATCTTCATTGGCTTGTCTTTGTTCTTATACCCCATTGACGAATGTACGGCGGTTCAAATGGTCAGCAGCTTTCAGTTCTTGTATCAATTGAATTTTGTAAGCGTGTAGAGACAAATCTTTTGTCAAAATTTAATGTAACGTTGTTGTGGAGAGGTTCAATTTCTGCGAGCGATGACGAATAGAGGCGTCTGGATTTTCGACCAATGTTTTCAGCTGAACGGTGTAAACGAGCATGTGATGGTGTTTTCACATCTGCCACCGGCCCAGTTTGTTTGAATTTACGAACAATTTTTACAACTGCACTCTCGGTTGCTCGATTATGTTGACCAAAAAATCGCGAAATGCGGAAAATGCATTTCTGTTTGAACGTCCATTTTCGTAATAGGCTTCGATAACTTTAACACGTTGTTTGATTGTCAATCTTTCCATGGTTAAAATTATCAAAGACTTAAGTTGTTAAATCTGAAAGAGAAAGAAAAAAATAATTAGAAGCTTAAACTAAATTCACATTTAAAATCTGTTCAAGTTATTAGAACACCCTATATTACTTTGTTCCTCGACTACATAAATGATACTAGATTGGCAGTTAGGTCTCACCGTCTTACTGTTGAACTAGCTAGATGCAACCACCTGTTCTAGTGTAATAATTTCTTTTCTCGCACCTTTAGTCTGTGGAACTCCCTTCCGATTTCTTGCTTCCCGGCCAACTACATTCTTCAAAAGTTTAAATGCAACGCTAATCACCCGTCTTTTATTGTCTTTTCTCCTCACTGAAGTCTTCTCATTCTCTTTCATTCCCAGTAACCCCTTGTGTCTTAGTGGCATTACCGCTTTGCTTGGGATGAAATTTTAAAAAAATGTACCTTGTATAAATGGATGGCCAGAGGCAAATGTTGCAAGCGGTTGATAATCTTGTAAATACGGTCGACACTGAGTGTTGCACAATTGCAACCAACTATTCTCCTTCTACGTTTATGTACCGTGTCCCTTTAGGATGAGGACGATCACGACTCTCTACAAGTTCCTATCCTTTGTAGCGCTTAGTAATATTTGTCTCCTTTCCATGCCCCCCCCCAAGTCGCTGTTCTGTCACCCATTTAAACAAGCTTGTGTGGTAGGTTGCTTACCGTTTCCATCCATTCCTCTTGCCTTCAATATGTCCCGTGAGTGTCAAATTTTCCGAGCACTCTTTCCTCAATATGAGTCGCAGGAATTTCAACCGTTTCTTTCTTATTCTAAGTCCCAGTATTCGTTGTGTTTTCCTTAAAACTTCCTCATCGCTCACATGCTTCAACCATGATATTCTCAGCATCCTTCTACAGAACGAAATTTCTCTTGCCTCAAGCCTTCCCTTCATCTGTGAAGAAATTAGCCAGCGTTCAATGTCATATAGAAGGATTGATATTAAAAAGTGTTTCAGCAATAATGAAATTTTCCTGGTTTATTTGTTAGATATTCTACGCTATTCTTTCGAATTTCGATGTCATATTTTCCCTAAAGTTTCTCGTCTATAGTAACCTCAGTACACTTCTGTAGAACTACATA